ATTAGTTATTTAACTTGTAACATGAAAACAACTTTGTTACAATTTTAACTAAAGCTTCATAAAGTATTTCAATATTTTAAATACTTTCTGCTCTACAACCCGTATCTAAGTGTGATCTGATTTTGCACAGGAAGCTGACTGAATCACAGGGCTCTGCACAAGGATAGAAGTAGAATTGTGTGGTTCTCAGTGTGCACTGAGGCCATCAGGCTACTCTGTGGCTTTGCTGCGAGCAAGACACCGCTCTGAGAAACAGATGAGGAAACAGATTGCAACTCGCAGACTGACAATCTGCTTGCTGGGTTTCTTATACTTTAGCGGAGAAATATCTTGGGCCAGGCCTATACATGGTGTAGCTGTGCTAAGTAAGGATAAGCAAAGAATGGAGCCATTCCCTGCCACAGTCTGCCAAATGTAGAAGGGGAAAAAAACAGCTCCATGCAGGCTGCTCCGCCCTCCCATGCTGTGTAATGGCAGTAGCCAACAAAGAGCAAGAAGGGGCCAACTCACCCTTCCCTACTACTCTGTGCCAGTTCGCATTAACTCATATTCTATCCCATAGTCCTGTTAAAAATCCAAGGCTCTTTTAACATGTAAAGTTTAAAAAGACTGAATATTAGCATTTAATCAAGAACTATCCATTTTTCTTTAGGTTGTAACATATTAGTAGGGCAAAAAGGCATGTATGTGACTGCATGTGGTGAAATGATATGAGGTCTCTGAGATACAGGAAAACCTTCAAAGTTATTTTTCCTAAAACACTTTGAAAGAAATTAAGCCTGTTTCTATCCAATAATGAAAAACTGGTTGGTCAATTAAAACATGTTCTGTATATGCAGATAATCAAAGCAAACAAATTAAAAATACCGGTTTTGTTAGAAACATTTTCCTCTTCTTATGTGTTAAATCATTTAATGTACATTTAAGGATTTGGGATACCAGAATTGAATTATACATTCTGTTAGAGGGACTGTGGGATTTCACTCTCAAGTCTTCATTATTATACTAGAATAATACAAAAGCCATGAAATTATGAAATAATTTAAAAATCTGAAAAATCTCTTTGCTATCTATTATACACCTAAAACCAGCATTTTTTCTTAATATGAAACATAGTTAATATACTTATGTGTGACAATTCCAGGAAGTGGAATCCCAGAAGAAACAGAGAAAAGAAACTTCCTTTACAGTTCGGTCTTCTAAACTCTGAATGTTTTCTGAGGCGTCTCAAAATATCCTCATTTCATAGTAAAAGAACAGATCCCAGCCCTGCTCTACTGTTTTGGGTTGGCGATTGTAGCCTATACACACGTGTGACACATCTTTCGATGTCCTGGTGTATCCCACCTGGAATTTAGCTCTATCTCCACAGGGCATGGTTCTTTGTTAATGCCCATCAGCCCATGAAGATGCCTCAGAAACTCATGGGCATCTAAAATGCCAATAAATACCCAGGTCTAAGCAACTAAGTTACCCTACGCCAGGTGTTTACTGAGGATTATACTTGCTCTAGTATGTTGCAATGCCTTATGCCAACTTCTGCATCTGGGGAATTCACCCTCAGTATATTCACCCACAATCTTTATATTCCAAAGCAAAGTATGGAGATTGAGGTAGGGGGCCACAAACGGACCAAAAGCCTTTCAATGCTTCTCCTGAACTGAAACAAGTTATACTGTCCACACAGTAAAACATCACTGATTTGTTGTCATTGCTTTAGATGTATCAGTTTGGGCATGAGGTCTAACATAGCATCTATTACAGATATCTGGGTGCATATAACCTCTTAATTAAGCACATATCATTTTTATGCACTTCACACATACTCTGCTTTAAGCATGTGTTTAAATCCTCACAGGAATTCATTCATATATTTATATGTGTGCCCAAATAGCCTTCCGGAACAGTGTTGTTTTCCTGAACTGTTGTCATGATTTAATATAATGACTTGTAGGTTAGAAGTCAGCCCTTTAAAAATTAGATGATTTATTCTGCAATTAACATCAATTAATAGGTTCAACTATAAAACAGCCATACAAAAGCTCGCCCTATTTTTCCCCCAAGTACCATAAAAGACACTAAGCGTCAGAAAAAAAAGTTATAAAAATGTAAGTAGGAGATCAGAGCTCAGATAGTTTGTTCCTTGGTTCAGATAACAATTGATGTGTATTTGTCAATTCATGAATATCAGATTTCATTCACAAGGTACATAATTACTGCAAAGCAAATTTCTGCAAAAAAAAAGCATCAAGCCATGGAGTGTTCAGCCACATAAACTGAGTTGTCTCCAACACTTAGAAGAAATCCAAAGGGAAAGTGTCCTGTTATTTAGACCAACATATCAGGCACACTATTAGTTCATTTGTATGCTGAAAGACTCAGACTTTTGCAGCCTAATGCTAGGAACAGCATTGCCAAAAGGAGAAAGAAAAAGCAACATGGACCTTTCTCACCACAACGGGACAGGTACAGTTCTGGGGCACCATTTTAGGAATCAAGCAATAATTATGATCAATGAAACACCAGGAGTCACTGTCAAACACAATGTCTCCTAAAGATTCTATACAAAGTAGAAAAATATGTCCCTATATTCTTTCTGTTGCTTTCTCTTTATTATAATTTTCAAAAGCAGTTTTTAGTCTAGTAAGCTGTATGCAAAAAATACTAGTATAGCTCCACTAGTAAGCTACTTCAATTGATTTTCTATTAAAAAAACTTTCAGATCCCCCCAACCTCAGACTCAAACTTTTATACTGTACAATTATGGCTCTTCTACAACTTTGCTATTTTCAGTAAGTGTTGATTTCCTAAACAGGATCAAGATGTTAGTATGACTGCTTTTCAGTACCTTCTTTTGTTTCCATGTGTTCTGTACCAAGATAGATCCAACCTTAATCTTGCATGTCATTCTGGACTTAATCCATAATTACTGGCATCAGTTAGATCATGCCAAATCTCAAAAAAAAAAAGGTATGTTAAAATACCTAGCACATATAATTCTTTCTTGAAAACACCTTCTATAATGCACAGTAGCTTCTGCTTTGAGCATTCCTGGTGAAGTCAATGAAATTGTTAAGATTCCCTTTAGAAAGCATTATGTTCAATAGGGTGTTAGATTGTGAATGTTTGTGCATCAATCTGTTACTGAATTCTTTTTAAATGTATTCAAATATCTTCTTTAAAATTAGAAATATTTTAGCAGCTGTATGCTAAATTTTTAATTTTTGAAGTTATGTTTACAGAAGCCATAGACATTCTTTATAACATTAGTAAGAACTATCATAAATAAAACAGTACGTTTTACTTTGCTTTACTTCTCTTTAAGCTAAGTGCACTTCCAGGAAAAAAAAGACTACAGTTGAGTTTACAACCTAAAATACTTAAATTCTGAGTAACAAACAATGACTGTCATGACCCATCTGTATATACAAAACACACAGTTAACGTGTTCCGTATACACAAAGTAAAACACTGCTGTTTAATAAAAAAGAAAAATACAAGCAAATACACTCCCTCTGGATATACAGAACTTACGGTATACAACACGAAAGTAACAGTGCAAGAATATAGCACAGGCACTAGCCCTGGAGAAAGTCACTACACAAATCATGCAGTAGAGCTGGATGATAAATGGCTAGTCATTGTACTGAAGTGAACTTACTTCTGTACTTACAAAAAATGGGTATCACATTTTAAGAAGACTCATGTTTTAAATTCAACCAGTTATCTGGCATACTCCTTGCTAAGCAGCCTATTCAAGTACCGTACAAAAAGCAGTTGCAGGGTGTGTTTTGATTTTGGTCAATGGGCGAGTAATTAAACAATGGTGCAATAACTAATTGAACTGGGGCACCATAGAACTTTGGTAAACTATGAATATCTGCACTGTTGTTTACAACACTAATCCCAGCTTTAAAATAGCATGACTATTATAATAGAGTTTAAACAGGTATAATTTGGATAGATACACTAGATTTCCTCTGACAGGGAACACTGAAATAATATAAATATATTGAAGAGGAGGTACTGGCAATAGAATCACAAATATATTTTCATTTAAGCAATTTCCATTTCTCTAGGCCTTTTCTTTCTTTCCAGAAAAAAAAAACCCACAACCCAAACCAAACCCCCAATTTATTCAAGTTCTAGGTCAACAGTGTTTCAGTTCATTTTGTCTTCTTTTGCTATGCCTAGTGCAGTATTGAACACTAGCACTGGACTGTGTGCTGCAGACCTTCTCTTGTTTGAATACTGTCAAATGTCATAAATGCTTGTGATAATGCTCTTACTCAAGAACGTGATGAAACTTAACATCAAAGCCATGCTGTAGATTGCCTGAGATATGACTAACGACTAAAGTTAGGTCCTTTCACCCAACATGGCCAATAACCCAGTTTCACTCCACTAAATCCAGGTACCTTGAAAGTAACGCTGCTCTTACCTAACCTGCTCCATAAGTTTTACACCTCCTCTGCCTCGATGATCTCTCATAAAAAAGATTCCCTTTCTTTGTTTTGTAGGCTCATTACTACGGCATGCCTAATTTCTTCTGCAAGTGAGGGTGGCAACTATGGGTGAGGATATGGGGTGAAGCTATGGCTTTTTACACAGAATTCCACAATGCAATGCCTTGTCTGTGATTAACGCTTCCATCTGTGATTAAAAGTAGCAATTTGAAGATGAAATATCAAAGGAAGGGTAATTAGTATATTGTGCATATTAGCCCAGCAAAAAAAAATGTAAGTTCTGCACCACAGCTAGTAACAGAATGAACAAGTACCTTACAGACGCATTGAAGGCAAGAAATTCACTATCACTGTATCAATAAAATGACTGCCTGTGACTTTAAACACAGGCACACTTGTACTTGGCTAGAGAGTGAACGATTTATTGTTACTATGAAGGATGCAGGAATGGAAATGAAGATGAGAGCGGCGATGATGATGACAGGGAAGAAGAGGTTAATATCCCCAGCATCGGATGGGGAACGATGTCCCTACCTCAGTAAGCTGGATAAGGGAATAGCTCCAGATCCACTGCCCAGGATCCCTCCTTTCCTCCCAGAGAGGAGTTTCTCCACCAGAGCCACATTCCCAGTGCGAGCAGCTTCCAGCAGTTCCTGGTCCTTCCCCATGGTCAGGAACCAAGCAGCCCCCCACGCACCCCGCCGCGCCCTAGGAGAGCTACACCCCGGGCCACAGCGGCCCCCTCTCTCCACAGAACGATCTCCCCGCCCCAGACCCTGCCTGGGAGCAGAGCAGAGCAGAGCAGAGATTCCTGCAGTCCCTTCCAGACCAGCAGGAGGAGCGGCAGGAGGGAGGAGGAGAATCACCTCCTCCTAGTTTCACTGGATCATTTCTGGGTGGAGTGTGGATGAGAAGCGGGGGGAGGACGAGGCCGATAAAGAACCTCCCCCCCACTCCCATGCACACACCCCGAGCCCCGGCCCGGAGGACTGAGGGAACCCGTGGCCCGCCGGGCTGAGGGGGGATAACGACCCTCACGGACGGAGGGACGGACGGAAGAAGGGAGGGACGGAGGGAGGAGGCGCAGCCCTGACTTGCCAGGCCCGTTGCGGGGGAGACGCGGCTGCCGCGCTCTCAGTGGCTGCCCGGGCTGGGT